TTTTCCCGAATCGCTTTAGGAATACCCAAAGGTGTTTTATTTTATGAAAGAACGTCACGAGGAAGGAAAGTTCGATGGATCAGTCTTTTTTATTTCTTTTATCAGACTCATCCGTCTTCGTGATCCCTATTATTATCGTAAATGCTCTTATCCTTATACAAAACAGAAAAGAAAGATAGACGGACAGAGATAGAGAGAGAGAGAAAGAGAGAGATATGATATATCGTGAAGATTGGTTGTTAATTTACAGCAGGTTGCAGCGTAACGTTTATCACGGTCCTACGTAATAATCCTTCGTGGTATTAATGCACTTGAGCCTTGAGACAGACGACAAACCACGTTTCGCATCTGGATTCTGGAATTATTTTAGCGGGAACAGCTCTCTCTCTCTCTCTCTCTCTCACTCTCTCTCTCTCTCTCTCTCTCTCTCTCTCTCTCTCTCTCTCTCTCTCTCTCTCTCTCTCTCTCTCTCTCGATAGTACGCGACGAGCGAACGAGCGAATGAACGAACGAACGAAGCGCGTTGACAAAAGCAGGGATTTAGGCACTCGAGCCGCCTCTCGTGTCTCGTGTTAGTCGAGACACAGAGATCGCACACGTTACGTAATTGAATGTGTATGTGCGCTTCGACACAAGAGCAACGAGAACGAGTGGAAAGCAAAATGGCTGTTAAGACTTAGTACAAACAATTGATCTCTTCTTGCTATCTCTTTTTCTCTCTCTCTCTCTCTCTCTCTCTCCTTCTCTCTATCTCTATCGTACTGTTTATCAACGTAAACGTAAAGGTCTTGTTCAATTCTTACGAATTGACAATAGTTTCTTTGTTATTAGTTCAAGGTCGTCATTCTTATTAGAAATTTGTAATTTTCCTTTTATTTACTCTTCCGTTTTTCTCTCTTTCTTTCTTTCTTTCTTTCTTCCTTCCTTTTTTTCTTTCTTTCTTTCTACGATAATAAACCATTAATAATAATCGAACGTTACGTAGTAGTTACTTATATACATATATACGCGGTCAGTTAGGTTGGTTGTTGTTGTTTGTCCAGTTTGAAAATTTCATCCACCTTTTCTACTTTTCAATTACGACGAGTTTTCCCGTCCATGAAAACGTCAGCTATCCTATACTACCTACCCTTCGACCGTTCAACAAATATCGGCTTTGGCGAAAGTTGTTCTTCGCACAGCTTCTCCTTACCCTCGAATAAAATCGAATGTGTGGATCCTAAACTCGATGGGTACCCATGAAGAGAGAACTCTAGGTGCACATTTCTATCGATCTAAGTTTCTTACGGTTCTCGAGATGAAAAGAGAAGAAGAAGAAGAAGAAGAAGAAGGAGGAGGAGGAGAAGGAGGAGAAGAAGAAGAGAAATGGGAGAGAGACAGAGAGAGAGAGAGAGAGAGAGAGAGAGAAATAAGGTGAACCGCATTATTAGTTTCTTGAACGATGCTGGATACCGATTTTCTACTTACACAAAGCTGAAAGAGAGTGCTATACCGATAGAAAGAGAAGGATAAAATAAGAGAAAGTAAGAAAGGAAGAAATAGAGTAGGAGGAAAAAGAAGAAAAAAAAGAAAAGAAAAAGAAAGAGAGAAAGAGAGAGAGAGAGAGAGACAGTAAGAGATTCGATGAGCCACGCTGTAAATTTTCCCTTCGCAGAGTCTCAACTTCGATCAGGTGTACTCGCTCGAATTGTCACGACCCATATCAAACGATTTACGACTTTGCTATCTTTTCGAGTCGTCGAATACGTCCGCCCCTTTGCGGCGAATCGAATTGGTGGAATGTTTTACTTTCTTAAAATCGTTATTTGAAACTCCTTGAATTTTCACGTTTTTTTAAAAAGCATTCTTCACGAATAATCAAACGTTAATTAATCATCATCATCATCATCATCATCATTCTACCATCGCCATACTCTCCACTATCTCCTTCTTTTATCTTCAAAAAAAAAAAAAAAAAAAAAAAAAAAAAAAGAAAAGAAAAGAGCTCGACAATTTTTTCTACGTCTTCCTTTCTTCCATTCTTCCTTCTTGTCTTTCTCGTTTTTTTTCTTTTTATCTTCCCCTTTTTTAACTTCTCTTCTTTTCTTTTTTTTTTTCTTTTTTTTCTTCTTTTTTCTTTTCTTTTTCAGAGTATTTGTGTCATGGAACCTGGATCGAGAACGACACGGCTTACTTGGTGGCGAGTACCGACGTCGGCCGTTATTGCCTCGTTTACAGTGCATCCGCCGCTACGACCGGAGATAGAGAACTTTCTGTGACGGGTCATCTTGCATCATGTCCGAGAGCCTCGCATCGGCATCCTGTCTCTTGGCAGGTTAACCTCACTTCCTACGGTAAGCATTCGAGGAATTTGATAAATAAGTTTGAAGAGAGAAGGAGGGATGAATGGATGGATAGATAGATAGATAGATAGATGGATAGATAGAAATAGAGATTAGAGTTTGGTGAAAGATAGAGATAGAAATAAAGATAGATTGACGGACTTTACTCGGCTATGTTTTTCTTTTACTTTTATTTCTTTCATTCAATTTCTTTTTCTTTTTTCTCTATTCCCCTCCCCCTCCCTCACCCCCGTTTCCTCTTCTTCTTTTACCTTTCCTTTTCATTCATTTCTTTCAAATACAATTTTAAAGATGTTCCTTCATGAAAAGCTTGTATATCATCGTCGATTTGAATTTCAAAAATTTCTCTCTCTCTCTCTCTCTCTCTCTCTCTCTCTATCCTTCATCTCTATCTTTATCCCTATCTCTATCTCTATCTCTATCTCTATCTCTCTCTCTATATATATATATATATATATATATTTCTATCTCTATTTCTCGCAAAATAATTTCTGCTTGCAATGACGAAACCTACACCGCGCTTGCATATAATTAATTTCAACGCGGGAATTCGCGTATTTGTACGCAGCTTGATCTCACTCGGGCAAATTTATGGTCGTACCACATCGTCATACGTTCATTCGTGGTTTCTGCACGGTATAAACGTTCATATGTCACCCGAAGGAGAAGAAGCCATAAGTTATAATATACGTGATTCATTCCATATGAAAGTATTCCGTCCAATACGTAATATCAAAATTGTTATCTACTTGAAGTTGACGAGTCGTCGTCGCTCATCGAAAGTATTTCTTTTTTTTTTTGTTCGTTTCTTTCAATTATGCAAATATAAAATTTTTAACGCGTACATGTAAAGCAGTAGTTATATATTTTTTTTTCTTTTTTTTTTTTCAGTATCATATCTCACATTGCTTTAATGAAAATCGATTATTCGAAAAGCGAATATATATATATATATATATATATATATATATATATATATACGCATAATATAGAAATGAAATATTTCTGGCAGCTGAATACATAAAATAAAGACAGAGAGAGAGAGAGAAAGAGAGAAAGAGAGAGAGAGAGAGAGAGAGAGAGAGAGAGAGATGATTGAAGTACTTTTTACACGTTATATTTTATGACATGTATGTACGTCATACGTGTGTATAGTTGTAACCAAAGCTGTCCGTCGAATAATTTTCCGAACATGTAGGTACTCATACTCTCCATCACGATTTCGCAACGATCCGTCCGTTAAAATTGATTTGTTCGTTATGTTAGCTGGCTGTGTTGTTGTTCGTCCATAAAGCGAACATTTACAACAGACATATCGTGTACGTTTAAAAATAAAATGGGTGAATCTATGTAGGAGAATATAGACAGATAGATAGATAGATAGATAGATAGATATTTGGTATAGTGTGTGATCCATTGACTGTAATATATATATACATACATACATACATATATATAAACTCATACACACACACACACACACACACACACATACACACAAACATATATATATATACATATGTATATACATACATATATTTGTTCTTGTTGTTTGCAGTTCAATGCGGCGACATCTCGTCTGCGTCGTCGTGGAGGTCACACGTGTCCTCCACTGTGCTCCTCATCGTTCTCAGCGGCATCCTCTTTGGCAGATACATCGCGAGGTGATGCCACTGAACTTTGAAGCGCCATACGCGAGTGGCTGTATAGTTTAAAGGAAGAAAAATCTTTTCGATGGATGATGTGACGAATTTCAAAATACGAATGAAAGATGAGAGAGAAAGAGAGAGAGAGAGAGAGTGAGAGAGCGAGAGAGAGAGAGAGAGAGGGAGGGAGTGAAGGAGAAAACTAAATAAACTCGCGAGAAAAGACGAAGGAGAAAGTATATATAATAATCGATTTTTTTAGGAGTTAAGCGATATTCGCACTTCGTGCATCGTAAGATAAGAGAAAGGAAAAAAAAGGAAGAGGAGAAGGAGGAGGAGAATGAGGAAAAAAAAATGAAAAGCATAAGAAAATGATAAACAGTGCTGATTAAGAAAAGAAGAGTGACCGCGTGAAAAGTATCTGGATAGAAGAAGTTGTGTATAAATTATTTATTTATTTATTTATTTATATTCAACGATAAACTTACTATTGCTATTATCATTAATATTACTAATCTTATCACTAATAATATTATTGCTATTACTTACGATATATTTAACATCGCTACGAATGTGGCAGACCGCGGAACGACGATGCAACTAAGCTAGCTAGCTTAGCTTTAACTTAGCTAATCTTTGCTGGAAGATTAATCGAATAAAACGATACGTTTGCACAACGAGTAAAAGAAAAAACTATGTATCCCCTTTCTTCTCTTTCTTGTTTACCTTTTGTTTCCTTTGGTTTTTATTTTCCTATTTTTTTTTCTCTCTCTTTTTTCTTTTTTCCTTACGTATTATCTATCTATCTCTACCGACGGTGAAAATGAAAATTCAATATCCGTACGTTCGATTTTTGTTATCGTCTATAAGACAAAGAAAGAATGAATTATATTCAATTCAATTTATTCGATATTATTGATTCAGATCGTAAACTATTCAATAGAACTCTGGTTTTAAAAGTTATACATTATTAATTAATTGTAATAAAATGACAACAAGAGGGAAAATTTAAATACGTTCGGGAATATATGGTAACGAAAGTGAAACAGATTTGTTTGAAGTTAGTAACGGAGAATAATATATATATATATATATATATATATATATATATATATATATATATATATATACTTACATACTTCCATATGTACGTAAGTACTGACGATAAATATATATTTAAATGAGTACGCATGTATGCGAGTAAATACTTATTATAAGATTTATAAGAGAAAGAAGGATAAAAACAAACGTAGAAAAGAAAGACGAATCATCGGCCAAAGTCGAGATCTCATTGTCAGTGTGATTTTATTTTGTTCTCACTCGGCATAGGAAAAGAGGATAAAGAGAGAGAAAGAGAAAGAGAAAGAGAGATAGTAAGGGAAGGATGGTAAACTCAATTCTGGTTTACTCCCAGTTCACTTCGATTTCACTCCCATCGGTAACGTGGTCATATATTCCGTGCTCATACCCCTTGTTGGAAATCTGATTTTTCCGCTAGGTTACGATTTGCTTCTACTCCCCATATTGGTAACTTGCGCGAGCAACTTCCCTTTCGTAATTTCGTAGCAATTTCGATCGGAGTAAAACACACATTATACTATCGTGTGCCGTCTGGCGTGTCTATATTTTTTTCTTCTTTTTTTTTTTGGATCTCTCTTTCTTCCTTTCTTTTTTTTTCTTTCTTTCTTTCTTCTTTTTTTTCCTCTTTTCTCGAAATACACACACACACACACACACACAGAGATTTTCTTTCGCATTGTCGTCGACGTAATGACAAGATAGAAATTCATTCATAGAGTGGAGAGGGTTAAGGAAATAGAATAGAAAAAAAAGGAAAAGAAAAAGAAATCGTAAAAAAAAAAAAAATAAAAAAGAAAAGAAAAAGAAATGATCGGATATTAAAAATCGAATGTCGGATAACACAAATCTAATGTACTCATATTGCTATAAAATATATACGTATGTATGTATAAGTATATATACATACATAAATACATACTTACATATTACACATGAATATGCGTTACTCTGTTTGCCTTCTAATCGATTTCCTCTAAGAGATTATTTGGCAAGGATCCGTCGGTTAGGTTTGGTTTCCTTTGGTTTGCTTTGGTTTGCTTTGATTTGGATCTTTCCTTTCCGGTTAATATTAATTACGATTTTTATTAAAGAATCGCGTCAGATTCAGAAATATTCCTTCAAAAATAGATCAAATAGTGGTATTCTTAATATAGAAAGAGTAAGAAAGAAAAAGAAAGAAAGAAAGAAAGAAAGAGAGAGCGAAAGAGAGAGAGAGAGAGAGAGAGAGAGAGAGTGAGAGTGAGAAAGAAAGAGAGAAATAGAGAAAGAGAGAGAGAGAGAGAGAGAGAGAAAGAGAGTAAGAAAGAGAAAGAATGAGAGAGTGTGAGAGAGAGAGAGAGAGAGAGAGAGATCGAAAGGAATGAATCGAGAGCGTCGTATTGAACGTACAGGATGTTATATAAAACGATGTATTATAAAAACAAGGGTGCTGGGGCCAATATTACGTGAATCCGTTGATAGTCGATCGAGAGTGATAAAAAGCGAGAGAGAGAGAGAGAGAGAGAGAGGGATCGTTTGTGCGTATGTGTATGTGTGAATGTAAGTATAAAAGACAGAGAGAGAGAAAGAGACAGAGAGAGAAAGAGAAAGAGAGAGAGAGAGAGAGAGAAAGAGATTGAACGAGAAAATGACAAAAGGGATGGTGATGATAATGATGATGATGATGAACATGAAAGAAATTGATATAATACATATTTAAGCGTATATGTATCTGCCACATTCGCAGTTTTGAGCGACGATGATGATGCCGTCTCGTTGGCTCTTCAAAGGAAAAGAGATGTAGGAGGAGAAAGGAGTAAAATAATTAACGAGTTCGAGTGTACTTAATCCGCGCTTCAATTTAGATTTTGCGATTACTACTGTAAAAAAAAAAAAAAAAAAAAAAGGTATAAAGAGAAAGGTTATAGACAAAGAAGATAGGGGAAATCGATCTTCGTTCAGTTGGTTGTTGTTTATTTTTCGAAAATCGGAATCTTCTTTTCTTTTCTGTTCTTTACTTTCTTTCTTCCTTTCTTTCTTTCTTTCCTTCTTTCTTTCTTTCTTTTTTTCTTTCTTTCTAATCACCGACTTTAGTCATGAAGATTTTTACACGGAAACACAGTAAATATTATTCTTATTATTCTTGTTTTTTATTATAATTATTTTTATTTATTTATTTATTTATTTTTTTTTTTTTATTATTAATATACTATTATTGTTGTTGTCGTTATTGTTATTTTTATAGGACGAAAACGGAGATCTTGAATGGCGTTTCTTTGTACGAATATTAATGATTAAGCGGTTTTAAAGATATAAATATATACATATACATATACATATACATATACATATACATATACATATACATATACATATACATATATATATATATATAAATATAAATATAAATATAAATATAAATATAAATATAAATAAAAATATTATTATTTACGTGTATAAAAATATTTTAAATCATAAGTTATCTGTAAAAATTAAGAATGCACCTTTCTGTATAAATAATAATAATAATAATATTAATAATAATAATAATAATAATAATAATAATAATAATTACAAAAAGAAGAAAAAGAAAAAAAAAAGAAAAAGACAAAGCAAAACAAACGAAACCGAAATGACATGATACGTACGTACATAAAAAAAAATACATATTAAAAATATTAGAGCACTGCCAATAAGTTGAAAGATAAAAAAGAAAGAACGAAATCCTTCGTTCGCTCTTCGAACGATGATGACAATGACGACAATGACGACAACGATGACGACGATGACGACGATGACGACGATGACGACGATGACGACGATGACGATTATGACGATAACGACAATGACGATGATAATAGTTCCAATCGTTCGCCGTTAATCTTGACTTATCAGGATAATTTGCAAAACGACATATCTATTGTGTGTACGTACGTAGGAAAGAAAAAAGAAAGACAGAAAGAGAAAAAGGAAAAGTAATATGTCTCGTATAGAAAAGTTTTGAACGACGGGCGATCGTTCTTCCTCATAGAGAAGAATTTGCTGCCGATTTGTAAAGAGAGAGAGAAAAAAAAAAGGAAAAAAAGATAAAAAGAAAAAAGAAACAAAAAATAGAAAATGCGCGCGCGCGTACGATTGTGTGTGATAGAGAGAGAGAGAGAGAGAGAGAGAGAGAGAGAGAGAGAGAGAGAGAGAGAATGATTACAAAATGACATAATCGCGAAACGCGTTCATTCGCGAAATCACGACAAAGTATATATGCATATTTTTAAGTGCAATCCGTTTAATCGAAACTCTATAAATAATAATGAATCGTCGAGGAGACGGGAGATGATGAACAGAGCAAAAAATAAAAAGAAAAAAGAAAAAAAAAAGAAAAATGCACGATCCATCGTTACAGATCGATCAAAGAGAATATAAAAACGAGAGTCGTCCGGCAAGGAAATGCATTTAAAAGGAAACATGTTTTAACGCATTTTCTTCCTTAAATTTTCCATTCGAATAAATTGGATTAACTAATATTAAATAAAGCGCGAATCGACGATTGGATTCGATTTGTACATAATAGAGGATGTAATAAAAAAAAAAGAAGAGAAAAGAAAAGAAAAAAAAGAAAAAAAAAAAGAAAAAAAAAGAAAAAGAAAGGAAAAAAAAGAAAACACACAAACACACACACACACACATACACACATACACACGAAGAAAAAGTTAAAGAAAAATCGAGTTAGAAGAAACAAAAAAGAACAAACGTGCTTTCGACGCGCGTACGTTGATCGTAGCACGGTCGTGTTATACTAATCATTCCTGTATAAAGATAAGAGAAATGGAGAGGTAGCAAGATGAAAGAGGTTTGAAAGAAACTCGATTTTATATTGGAACTAAGAGAGAGAGAGAGAGAGAGAGAGAGTGAGAGAGAGAGAAAGAGAGAGAGAAAGAGAGAGAGAGAATGTAGATTTCAGGGTATTTATATCGAGGGTTATATAGTTATATAGATATACAAGAATATTTAAATTATAAAATATATTACAAAAGAAAAGTATATATATATATATATATATATATATATATATATGTATATATATATACTATGTTTTTATTGTTGTAAAGTTAGAAGAATAAGGACGATCTAGTGTCGTAAACGAATGATTACGTACACTTCGAAAAGCATCGAAGAACGAAAAAAAAAAAAAGAAATCATGTGATTCGCATTTTACTAATTAGCACGATCGCACGTATATCTCTATGTACGTTAATACAATACAAATCCATTCGTAAAAGTTTGTGCTCGCAGTTTAACCGGATGCATTTCATTCAGAATGGAAAAACAAAAACAGAGAAAAAATAAAAAAAAGAAAAGAAAAAACAAAAAAACAAACATATAACGAAAGAAATAAAATGTATAGAAAGAGTAATGAGAAAAGAAGGATTTCCTTTTACTTACCGGCTCGAATTCAAAAAGAACTCTGGAACTATATAATAGGATGTAAATTGTAATATGCGAATCGTCATCGCTCCCCTGTAAATGGCACATAAAATTAATAAGAGAGCACATGGCTTTGTTAGCAGCGAGATATCATCGAGAGAGGATATATTTATTTCGCCATTATTTTTTCTGTTGTTTCTTTTTTTCTTTTTTTTTTGTAGACACGAAACGCCGCCATCACAAATCTTTCAATTTATTTTATAATATATCCACGAATTAGTTTGCGTCAAAGAATTAAAATATCTTTTCGCGAATGTAAAGCTATAATATCATCGTTTATTATCAACGAGGAGAAAGTAAAAAGTGAAAAGTGAAAAAATAAGGAGAAAAAAGAAAATCGATATTCCTTATCTTTTGCAATTCGGCTTAATTATTAAAATAAAAGTTATTAAAAAGAAAAAGAAAAGTGAAAGGAATTAGAATAGGAAATAAACACAATGATTTATAATTTTCAAAAACGCTATTGAAACGTAATTATCCTGCTCGTCTTCTTTTCACGTTTAATCTATAATCGACATACACGTGCGTGTATATATATATATATATATACGCACTGCTAGTAAGACATAAGACAATGTTTATTACCGTTTTAATTTTGTTATAACAAAAGAAAGGGAGAAAAAAATGAACAAAAAAAAAAAAAGAAAAAACAAAAATGCGAAAGATACGGAGTACGATGATCTTCGAATGATTTTCTACGTGGATATATGCCGTAAATAACGAGACGAGCGGCGAATAAATTAATTGTGATCGCCAAGAAACGAATGGAGGATGATCTCGCCGATGAATACATTTTTTACCGAAAAGTTATATCAGCTTTATCTCGCAAACGAACTTCACGCGGACTATATTAAAATAAATAGAAACGCGCGCGTGTTTGTGTGTGTGTTTGTATGCATACAAAGAGAAAGAGAGAGAAAGAGAGTGAGAGAGAGAGAGAGAGAGAGAGAGAAAGACAGAGAGAGAAAACAAAAATGCGTGTGTGAGAGAGAAAGAGAAATGAATGTTGATAAAAACGTGTACGTGTCGTATGGTAATATCGATAAGATGGAGGATTTAAGATTAACGAAAGAACAAAAACAAAAACAAAAAAAAAGAAAAACGAAAGAAAAGAAATGAATAAAGGATTAGGAAAATTGGTACAAGTTTTCTGCACCGTCAGAATCGATCCAAAGGTACTATTATACTTAAAATGAAATTAAAACAAAAAAAAAACAAAAAATAAATAAATAAATAAATAAAAGAAAAAAAAAAAAGAAAAAAGGGATAACAACAACAACAAGAATAAAAACAAAAAAATCCACGCTTAAGAGCCACGAAATCTATACATAATGAATGTTTTACTATCGGATTAAAAATATTACGATAATACTTATTAATGTAAATGGTTTTTCATTATTATATTATAGATGTTACTCAATAATATATTTACAAATAATATTAAGCCAAAGCAATCGTTTTATTTCATCCTATCCATAAAACTTAGCGTTCCACATTTTTCTTTTAGCATTTCTATCGGAAAAGAAGAGGAAAGTGTTGATGATTAAAAAAAAAAAGAAAAAAGGAAAGTGTAAAATGAAGGGAGGAAGGGGGGGGAGAGAGAGAGACAGAGAGAAAGAGAGAGATAAATAAAAAAGAAAAACCATAGAAGAAACAAAGTTCCGACAATAAATATGTTTTTATTACACATATATTTCGTACGAGGGTTACACGATATTAATACATGTTCATTTAACTGTCCAGCAATCAAACACGTTGTATTTTTAATTTTCTCTTGTCACCGTGATTATCATCATCATCATCATCATCATCATCATCACATCAAAAATCATTATCATCAACATCATCAACATCATCATCATCATCGACATCATCATCATCATCATTATCATCATCGCTGTTTACTATCGTATCTCAGGAAGTTATCGGTAATTGTCACACTTTGTAAAACATCGTCATTACTCTAATGTAAGTTTCGAATCACCCGAAGAAATTAAAGACTAACGTTGCGCGATCGGTGCTTTGTTTTGTTTTGTTTTGTTATTTTTTTGTCGTTTTTTCTTCTCCTTGCTTATTGTTTATTTTTTTTCTCTCTTTTTTTTGTGTGTATTTTATATTTTGTTTTTTTTTTCTTTTTGTTTGGTTTTCTCTTTTGTTTAATTACTTTTTTTCATTTTGTCCTTAATACTTTTCATTCCTTCTTCTTCTTTTTTTTTTCTTTATTCGCAATGAACAATTGACAAACGGTTATGAGAGAGAGAGAGAGAGAGAGAGAGAGAGAGAGAAGGAGGGAGGGAAGGAGAGAGGTAAAGAGAGAGAGAGAGAGAGAGAGAGAGAGTTATAAATGGAAATGGAGAGAGAGAAAGAGAGACAGTGTTGGAAGTTTAAGGTGCGTAAAATAAATTGTACCTGCGCATTCGCGATAATTGTTTACTTTTATATTCATTCTCGAATGTCGAAAATGATCGCTTACACATAATATTTATATGTATGTATATTCCTCACGATTTCTAATTAAACACAACATCATCTTAGACATATCGGACGATTCATTTAAATTTTATTACTAACTTCCAGTTGTTATCTTTTTTCATTTATCCGTCATAAACTGCTTACGACAAAGTTAATTACTTTTTTTTTCACCCCTTTCTTTTCTACCTCCTTCCTCCCTTTTTATTTTTACTTTTTGGTTTCCTGACCTCAGTTCTTTTGTGTTTAATAGATAATTATTAATTTTTATTCATAACCTCGTTGCTTATGCCCTAAGAAACTTCGTTAAGTTGATTTCTTCTTGTTTTTTTTTTTCTTTTTCTTTTTTTTTTTCTCTTTTTCATCAGCTTACAATCTAATCGTGTACTTCGTAAATCTTATAATTAAATATAATAATTCTAAGCTTGGTGACCAGCACCAAAACACTCACTAGATCACTGCCTACGGACATAGATACAGATTTTTTTTCATTCTTGATAGTTGATACGATTACGTGGACCAAAAGAGATACCACACACATTCATACGCACACACAGCACACACACACACACACGCGCGCGCACAGCACAAACACACACACACGCACACATACACACACATACATGAGTCTCCTTCTCAAATTTTTTTTCCGTTTTCTTGTTTTTCTCTCTTTTTTTCTTTTCCTCGATCATCATCATCATTATTATTATTATTATTATTATAATTTCCTTCCGCGTTTCACGTACGACAGTTAGAAGGAGCTTATTATCTAAATGTGTATACGACTTTTTACTTGTTTTTTTTCTTTTTCCTCCTCTTTTAGGCTGATCTTCGCTATTACATGATTATAATACATGCCATTCGTATTAGCTTCGATTATTTTTTAACTGAGTTTTCAAACTCAGTTATGTTATATATATATACACAACATATATATATATATATATATATATATATATATATATATATATATTTAAATGTTCTTTTTCTCATTGTTTAATTATTATTCCTTGCTGAAAAATTTATAAGAATCTCTTAATCGAAGCAAAGTACGAACGACCTTTTGAAAGAAAAGAAGACGATTTCGAAGAATCAGCGCTTTTACACTGCAAAAATACCAAACGATCGACGTTCAGAGGATCTTCAATGGTTTCTTTCATTCTCTTTTCTTTCTTTTCTCTCTCTCTCTCCCTCTCTCTTTCTCTATACGATATCAGCCACGTCAAAAATCGACATGACCTTGAAATCAGATCTTTATACGTCACGCGAAGATCGTCTAGAACGTCGAAGGTATACAACTTAGAAAATTTCGCGTTTGTTTCACAAACATTATTTAAAGCGAAGTTGTATTTTTTCTTTTCTTTTCTTCTTTTTTTTTCTTTTTTTTTTCTTTTTTTTTTTTTGTTGTCTTTTTCGTCTTTTTTTTCTCCCCCTTTCCCCTTCCTCCTCAATCCCTCCCCCCCCGGTTATAATATCTGTGGTATTTTTGTTGTTTGCCATAATACATCGATCTGCGCGAGTGTTTTTTCTATAAACACGGATTACACACAGGTCATTCCCATTATTTTCTATCGATCTCGCTAAAAGCCAAGAGAGAAAATACGGTTCGTTGCCGCGTGAAACGTATCGGCAATTTTAAATAATGTCGCGTACGTGGGCGCATTCGTACTCGATGATCGATTTATAACGACAATCACTAATATTACTCTTTGGTTAAAAAGAATTTAACTTGATAGTTTGAGATGTCAGTATTATGTATATATGCGTTTTACATTTTGTTTTATTATATGTATGTATGTAGGCATGTATGTGTTCATCCGTGTCTAACCCCGTGTTAAGAAATAGCGCAAGTGTACAAAAGAGCGTATTTTATATATATATATATATACATGTATATATATATATATGTATATACATTATGTAATACTTTATTATATATATATATATATATATATACATATATATATATATACATATATATATATATATGTATGTGTGTCATGTCGCGCAATGTTCCTCAATATTTTTTATAATTTTTTATTCGTGTTTCTTTTTTTTCTTTTTTTATCTTCTTCATTTTGATCGTAAGAAGAAAGAGCATTGTTTCTCTTTTCTTTTCTGTTTTTTTTTCTTTTTCTTTTTCCTTTTTTCTTTTTTCTTTTCTCTCCTAGCAAGTTTCGAATGAATTAATTTTAATATACAAACCTAAAAAGTCCAGCTCTTTTTTTTAACGCAGAGTTATTATATTAAAATTAATCATGTCTGTCTTTTCACATATAACATCTTTTACGCCGGTATATAATAGTCTCTTTTTTTCTTCTTACTTTCGTCTTTTCCACTTCTATTTCTATTTCTATTTCTCTCTCTTTCTCTCTTCTCTCTCTCTCTCTCTCTCCCCCCCTCTCTCTTTTTTTTTTCTTTTTCTTTTCTTTTTCTTTTCTTTTTTTATTCGTTATCTTCGTCTTAAAACGTGGCTGTCTGCTTCCTTAACGAAGATTACGACTCGTCTTTATCTGACAAAAATTACGATGAAAATCTTTGCACGTTCATGAAAAATAAACACTGTTGTCAATCATTTTTATAGATATTACATCAACGTCGAATGATGATCCACATTATTCATGGAAGAATCAAAGATAGGAAGTTTCTTTTTTCTTCTTCTTCTTCTTCTTTCTTTTTTTTTTTTTTTAATTATGCAAATACCTCGTGCACGTGCATTGTTACCTTACGAGTTATAAATTCCATTCTTTTTCTAAAATTTTCCCAAGGGTGGTCCATTTTTTATCATATCATTTTTTTTTGATTATTGTTATTCCACGTGCGCGGTCTCTTCCATTCTTTTTTCTTTTATTTTCTTCTTTTTTTCCTCATTCGTCGTCCATTCATACTTTCTTTTTCCATCTTTTATTTTGTACTTTGAATTCCAACACGATTGCATCTATTTAATCTTTCGACGATGGGTCACATCTAAACAATATTCTATGTGGAAAAGCTTAGCGTTTGTTTCAATCGTATGAGACAGAGAGAAAGAGATATACATATACATATATATATATACATATACATATATATATATATATTACATAGATAGATATACGAATACGATATTAATCGAGCCCACGAAATCCAACTACGAATCCTTCGGAATAAAATCTTACACCATTATTGTACCGTTCAATGTTTTGATATGTCGTCGAGGATCCTGTGCGATTCTTTGTCTTCGTCTTTTCCCAAGCGAAGTTTTAGTGCCTTTCGTTTATGCGTAGCACGTAGCAAGTATAAACTCCCATCTTAACTTTTTCTCATTTCTTTATCCTCATAAATCATTATATCTTCTTCTTCTTCTTCTTCTTTTTTTTTCGTCTTCATTTTCTTCTTCATCTTCTTCTTTATCTTCTTCTTCTTCTTCTTCTTCTTCTTCTTCTTCTTTTTTTCGAGCATCGACCGATTGTCGACCAATCGTGAAAAACAGAATCTCGCTTTATTTGCGCAGGTACATTGTGAAGAAAGAGATTCAATCCCTCCGTTTATTATTACTTTAACTTCAATGAGATAGGAAATAGAGGTAGAGATAGATAGATAGATAGATAGATAGATAGATAGATAGATAGAGGGAAGGAGATAGAAAGAGAGAGAGAGAGAGAATAAGAAATAAAAAGAGATAATTGAAAGAGGACAAAAGATGCATCGTTGATTTCCAAAATAGTCTTTCTTCAGTGTGATCGAAATCAATCGTAGAAAATAATGGAAACAACGAAAGGAGAAAAGATAAAGGAGATAGAAAGGGATAGAGATAGAGTCAGAGAGAAAGAGAGAAAGACAGAGAGAGAGAGAGAGAGAGAGAGAGAGAGAGAGAGAGAGAGAGGTAAAAAATCAGGTAATGGAATTACGATGAGGAGAACGATGACGACAACGACGAGGACAGAATATTCTTCGCATGAAGCGCGACAATACTTGTTATTTATCTCTCGTCTAGGACAAATCCTTTTCTCGTTTCTCTTCGGACGCGACGCGTTTCGGACCAGCCGCCAACACGCCATCCCGTTGATTGAAGATCGTATTTCTTCTTCTTCTTCTTCTTCTTCTTCTTTTTTCATTTGTAGTGTACCGCCCGAAAATAGAAGTCACGAACGATCTTCACTTCCGCGTACGAGAGAGAGAGAGAGAGAGAGAGAGAGACAGAGAGTGAGAGATAGAGAGATATAGAGAGAAAGAGAGAGCGTTCCGCTTTTCGAGGATGATGCGTCGACAACGAGCCGTCAAATCGTCGCGTTTTCTAAAGTTTTTTTTAAGCGACGATAGTGAACGGCGATAGTGATGTTCGTTGAGTGGTGGTTGTGGTGGTGGTGGTGCTGCTGCTGCTGCTGCTGCTGTTGTTGCTGCTGTTGTTGTTACTGATATTGGTGACAACGACAAGAAGAGAATCAGGGCGAGCAACGAGGGGGAGGGAGGGAGTGCTGGTAATTTTTTTCCTCTCTCTTGTATTTTTTTTTTCCTTTTTTTTTCTGTCTTTTTTTTTTTGTTTTTTTTTTTGTTTTGTTTTAATTCTTTCTTTTATCCTACGATCCTATTCAGTTTCTCAGTTTTTTTTCTCTCATCTTTGTTTTTCTTTTCTTCCGTCAGTGCCCAAAAATTTCAGCACTTATATTAGCAGTCTTTAACCAAGCAAGCGCATCTTCATCGCTCGTTAAACAACGATCAATAATAAAGCCCAGGATATTATTTATTAACCCAGGCAACTTCGACGTGCTCAGGAATATACCAAGGACAAAAGGATGGATCCTTTTTATCGTTGCGTCAGCAGAGCAACACCGCGACCTGCAGCCAGCGCGGCTCTCCTGCTCGTGCTCGTGTCACTGACGCACGCGCCACCAAGTCTGCTGCACCTTCTCGTGGAGCTTCTTGCAGATACCGGCGAGCCTCCGTCACATTCCAGCATCCGCGCCGTTTTCATCGTTCTCAACGCCCGCGTCCTCGCTTGAAAATGTTGTTGTATGACCGCCGCCACCGCCGCCGCCACCGCCACCACCACCATCGCCATCACCACCACCGTCGTTACCCTCTAATGTCTCTCCGCTCTCATCACCTTCTTCCAATGTCATTTGAAAATGTTTTTTATCGGACTGTTGTTGTTGATCGTTTCCAGCCTGTAGCTGTTGTTGATCGTCGGACGGCGGTGATGGTGGTATCATCGACTGATACCAATCTCTATTCTCTTCCAACGTATCCAAAATCTCTTGGGCGTCAGGATGTACTAAATCTGCCCAGGTTTCCCAAAGCGGATGCACAATATAATCGATAAAGCCGACCTGCGACTTCTCGATCGTAGCGCTGTGCCTATCGCACATAGGACTTATGTCCATGTTCTGTTCGCGCTCTCGATCACCCTGGAGGAAAAACTCCTCCATCAATAGGCTCACCCATCGTCGATAAAGCGGTAATGGTTTCGTTGGATTCGACAGGTCCGCACAATGAACGAGATTCTCTAACACCTGTATGCGATCCGTATAATTGTCTAGAAGTAATACGCCAGAACCAGCGACTTTCTTCGTTTCTACCATTGTTTTCAGATCTGCCAATAGGGACATGTGCTTCGACATGTCCGTTGATAGGACCATGTCGATCACCATTTTCCTTAAGGTTTGCCGTTGCTTTTTCGTCATGTTCACGAATATATCGCAACCTTCGTTCTGCAGAAGCTTAAACGCCACCGCAAGGTGATGATTCTCCAATACGGACTCGTCGTTGTACATCAGGGCGAGCTCGGAGCCTAGAATAAAAAGGAAAAAAAAAAAATTCCCTTTGTTAGAAAATACAAACGATAAAAACAACATTTATTTGATTTTTCATTAAAGTTTCTTTTTTTTCTTTTTTGCTTTTTTTTTCCTTTTTTTTTTCTTTTGAATTTAACACTTACTCGAATTGATAAGGAACTGATTCGTTAGCCCGGGATGATCCACGTCGTGGATCGTGGCCGCAAACAGAGCTGCTGTGATCTCCAACGGCGTAAACACAGACTGCAAATATTAATTTATTATTGTGTTATGAATCAAATCAATAAGCTTTTCTAATCATTGTCAATTAACATCAAAATTGCTTACCTCGAGGGCGGGTGTGTTGAGTAATGTGTGAGTGGATTGGGTCACATCGGCGGCGTGAAGACTGTTATGGAAGGGATTATCCTTCACGTAATGATCCTCAAGGGTCATCATGAAGGTAACGAAGGTTTTCGGCGGTATTGCCAACGACTTCAACAAATCTCGGCTTTGGAAGGCCGTATAAGCGACACAGGTGAGAGGTCGATTATTACTGAGCTCGCCTATCCTGAAGATGTCGATGCCCCACTTGTCGATGTCCGACAATAACTAATAAAAGAAATATGAAATCATTTTTTTTTCTCGTTTTCCTTTTCTTTCATTTCTTCTTCGCAAACAATATTTTCCAAGAAATATTTTTCGATACGACGATTAATTTCGACGGATCACTTATTCAAAAAAAAAAAATTATAAATTTAAGATTACGATTACGAATGCATTTCAATTGAATTTTCGAAAGACATTACGAATCGTTCGAGAAAAACATTGAAAAAGAATTTGCATTTGTTTAGTTTTGGAAATCTCGTTTATTTTTCATTATTTATTTATTTATTTTTCTTTTATTTTTTTCACGACTCGTTCTTCGGCTATCTATTTTCTTTTGTTCTTCTTTTCTTTGTTTTCTTTTTTATTGATACGTTTAATGAGGCGAACAAACGATAAGATTTGTCGAACGATTCGAAGATGGCCAAATAAAGATCGTCGAAAAGAAAACAAACTAACGGTACGTATTTCGGATCATTTTCACGTGGGTGTTGTCAATCCGATTTTTCATTCAGATGGACGATCGATTCGGACCTTTTTAAGGATAGAAAAAATTTCAGCTTTATCACCGTGATTCTTTCAAGAAAGTCCTTCTTACAAAAAGAAGATATTACGAAAGATATTTGATTAGTATAACGAGAGTAAGGCTCATTTCATTCTCGATGTCGCGGAAGCGCGAACTAAGATTATTTTTATCTCAAATAAGGCGGTCGTTCTCTTGGATGGTGCGAAAGCGAAGAGAATAATATCGGTTGGCAAAAAAAGAAAAAAAAAAAAAAAAAACAAAACAAAACAAATAAATAAATAAATTTATAAATGTTCGAAACGAAAGGAAATGATACAGTTGAAAGCAAAAGTCGAAAAAGAAGTATTCGACTCATATATGAATTTCACATTTCTTTTTATACCCAAAAAATGAGTTGAACGATTTTTTCTTTTTTTTTTTTTTTTTTTTTTTTTTTTTTTTAAGTAGAATTATTATTCGAGTTATCGGTAAAGCTTACGACCTCGTTTTGAATGGTTTTACAAATTTATATATATATATATATATTTAACCGCAACACGATCCTATCACGGGTCCAATGCAAACATTTCGTTCTCTAAATTCCTATTATCGCGTGTACCGGCTGTCATATATGTATTTTCACCTTTCAACAGACGTAGATTATCTACACTTCAAAACTCGATACTAGTAACGCGCATTAATATAATACGTACGAATAATGATAATAATTTTATATACCATAATCGATTTCGTTAATTCGAAAAGCTAAGAAAAATTTCCGATGGAAATATTTTTCGTGAGACAATTATCCGATTCCTTATTGACGTCGACGCGACTTTTGAAGAAATAAAAGAAAATAAATAACGAAAATGAAAAAAAAAAAAAAGGAAAAGGAAAAGAAAACGGGCGAAAAAAAGAAAACATTCGATTCGCTAATCTCTCTCTCTCTCTTTCTCTTTCTCTCTCTCTCTCTCTCTCTCTCTCTGTAATCTGAGATCTCTGTCCTTTTTCTTCAGCTTGTAATCCTTTAGTAAAATGAAGGTACGTTGCAAATATTTGTACTCGCACGTGTTGTTGAAATTTTCCAAACCAAATTAGCAATGTTTCCTTCCCTTGGTTTTAAGCGTCTCTCTTTCTCTCTCTCTCTAAGTACATATACACGAATGACCGAGGCGACGATTTTAGAGAGGATAATGCGAGAGAGACAGAGGCAGAGACAGAGAGAGAGAGAGAGAGAGAGAGAGATAGTGTTCTCTTTTCATGAAAAAGAAAGAAACCAAATCGTTCACAGCGGGCTACCGAGGCGAATGTTACTGCGTCAAAATTCGTAGAAAAATCGTCGAAACCGAACAACAATAAACAGAAGGTAACTAGAAAGAAAAAGAAAAAAAAACAAGAAAAAAAAGAAAAAGAAATGAGAATTAAATTTTATACTTTGATATAACTACTACTACTACTACTACTACTCGAAACGAACGATCGTTTATACTAGTTTTTACTTTTTACGATAATAATTAACACACCGGTTACTTTCTGGTTATCACGAAAAATATTTTCTATTTCGAACAATTATAATAAATTATTAAAAAAACATTAAAACATAGAAATGTAAAAATAATTATGAATGTTAATATATATAAACATTTTGAATAATATAAAAAGTTATACCGATATTGTATTATAATATTATATATGTAAACGATCAGAAAATCTACACACACATATATATATATATATTATTTTAATTCCCTGTTTAATTCCTAGATAAAATTTAGATACGTCTTTGGTAATCATTAAAGTCGATTTTCCTTTAAGAGAAACAGAGAGAGAGAGAGAGAGAGAGAGAGAGAGAGAGAGAGAGAGAACGGGGGAAGAAGAGAGAGAGAGATCAGAAATCGTTCGTTATTCGTTAAAGATTTGCTCAGTAGGATTAGTACATGAGATTAGTGAATCGCGATTAAATCTATCGATGAAAGATATAATCGGATTTACATCGGTCGCGTGGGTGTTGAATCTCGTAGCTGAATAAATAGGACTGTTACTATGTGTTACTACGTATACGTTTATGCAATTAGATATTTCGATTCCAAGTTAATAAGGAATAATTAGTACATCGTCCTACGTACCAATTTAACGACAAAAAAAAGTATTTATCTTGTACTTAATTAAATCCTCGTAATATTTTCTATTTTAATAAAATCAAAATGAAATGAAACGAAGAAGAAAAATTAAAGAAGAAAAATAAGAAAAAGAAGAAGAGGAAGAAAAATTAAAAAAAAAAAAAAAAAAAAAAAAAAAACGAAAAAGTAAATAAATAAAAATGAAAAAAAAGAAATGAACAAACCTTGCCGAGTTCCTCCTCGTGTGGTGTTTCCACTCCGTGAAGGGGTACTCGTTCTCCCGTGAAGCTGTTAGTGTGCGTGAGTGGCCTTTTAACGCCACTAATGTGCGACATAGCAGCTGGGCCCCTCTGTACCCTGTCCTTCTTCTTGGCGGCACGAGCGTCCACGCTTCCGGCCGCTGCGACCGCATCTTCGATCCGCAAAGATGGCAAATCGAGTTCCTGCTGCTTGTCTACAAAAAAAATTGTATTATACGTTAATCGTTTTCGGATTATTAATATCGATGCATTAGATACGTTTGGTCTTTCAACGATATTAAATCATCAATTTTAAATGATTCTTAGATTAGAAGAAAATTCAGACCATCTCTATTTTCCTTTCTCTCTCTCTCTCTCTCTCTCTCTCTCTCTCTCTCTTTCTATTTTTTTTCTCTTTTTTATCTTTGTTGTTGTTCTTATCGACTCTATCATATATACTTAGGTATATAAATTCACGGCCGTTGTCTGTCGTTTTTATTTTCTACTTTTCACGATAAGAGTCACATTACGTGCGCGAAAAAATTCGTGTTTGTAATAAGATAACCGTATCGGAAATCGGGAGGGCATATTCGATCCATCATTTATTTATTATCCTCAATAAATTATAAACGCGAGAACTAGATCTTACGATGGATTCGAAACTGGTGCGTAAGTAGAACGAAATTTAAATCTCATTCGTTTCTCTATGAATTGTATTTTCAAGGGCTTTCAATGCGTCAATGGAAAGAGAGAGAGAGAGAGAGAGAGAGAGAGAGAGAGAGAGAGAGAGAGAGAGAGAGAGAGAGAGAGAGAGAGAGAGAGAGAGAGAGAGATAGAGATAGAGATAGAGAGATAGATAGAGAGAAAGAGATATCGATCGTTTGCTTTTGACGTCTTCGTTTAAACTCGGACTCTTGACCTCGACTATCCCTTCCTCTCTCTTTCTTCTTCTCTTTCATCTCTCTCTCTCTCTCTCTTTCTCTTTTTTTTTTCTCTCAATTCTATGAAAAGTAAAAGGAAATTGCACGCGAATTCGTAAACGACGACGACGACGACGACGATGACAGCAATATGAACGTCATCGAATTCGATTGAAAAGGCAATAACGAAACGACTTCCAATAGTTCCTGATGCAATTGGACAAAAGATAAAATAAAAACGAATTTTTGAATAGAACAACTTACCTAGGAAAGTATTGCAGATATATTCAGATATTTGATTCCCGGATTTGGACGATTCCGAGAAGTGAAGGAGTTCCTTGTTCAGCATTCTCTTGAACTATAATCAAAAAGAAATAAAAATTGAAAATTAGTAATCGAGTAACGCAAAAAAAAAAATATTATACGATTTTTAATTGTTCACGAAATCGTTTTAATCTTTTGAATTTTTTTCTTTTTTTTTTTTATTTATTTTTCATTAAAAAAGAAAAAAAAACAAAAGAATCAAACGAACCATTTAATATCATGCAAATTAATATTATTTTTTTTTTTTTTTGATTCAATATGATTAATTATATAAATTCGATATAATCTAATAGATATGTGCAAAAATTAGATCGATTAAATTAGATCGATCTAATTTAAATACAATTTTCTTTCAATATTATCTATCGTATTAGATACATAATATTTTCGATAATGATACGTTATACATAGGATTTGATAAATTTGTCGAAAGAAAGAGACTAATAGTATTGAGTTCTAATGTTTATGGGATTCTGAACGTTTGCGGGAATACAACGTGTACCGTTTAGAGATTGAGAATAAAAAATAATAAAATTGCCTGTAAGTGATAAAGAGTGTTTAAAAAAAAAAAAAGAAGAAGAAAGTGCGATTAGATTGTGAGAAATGGCGGAGAATCTAAAAAGATATTTCGAATGAAACGAAATGGAGTAGAGTACGTGATAAAGTTGAGTATTAGAAAAGTTTTCGGGAGTATTGATTATTAGAATATATATTGTAACTGTATTACATTGTAATTATTAATAATGATACCGATTGATTTTTCTTAGAGATACGTTCACATAATTATTATGAAAGGAATATAGCACGATAAGAATAGAATTATCATAAAAAAAAAAAAGAAAAAAGAAAAAAAAAAAGAGAACAATTCAGCAAATGATGTTAACTCGTTGACAGGAATGATTTAAAATATCCAGAGTTATCAAAAAAAATAAAATCTTCGCGTTTCGTTTGCGAGGACCAAGATACCGACCTTGGTTCGGTTTTCGATCAACGAAGACGCGAAACATTATCTTGCTAAATTTACGATATTTGCATTAAATCTGCGTCGTTTTGCATTACGTATATATACATATGTGTATGTGTGTGTGTGTGTGTGTGTGTGTGTGTGTGTTTGTATATGCGTGTATTTGTTTGTGTTTCGTATATAAACGTTTAATAGGTATACGTATACAAAAAAAAGAAAAGAAAAAAGAAAAAAGTAAAAGAGAATAAGATGAATCTACGAAAGTATGCAAGAAAGTAAACAAAAAATAACATCGAGCCGATAATTTTCTTATCGTCCCAAGCGAAAGCTTCTTATCGAATTTTCCTCCAAGCCATTTTTTCCTGATTCTAATATAAACAAATGCTGTTTCGTTCATTACCGATCTCGATATTTACTCTCTCTTTCTTTCATATATTCCTTTTTTGAGAGTAATGATCTGTGTTATCAAATCTTTTAACGCAATTCCATTTAAATCCATTCCCCGTTTAATTAAATAATTTTTCTCTTCTGATATATATATATATATATATATATATATATATATATATATATATATATATGGAGATAAAATGAAATTTCTTAAAGATAATAATAAACGAATGGTAAATAAAAATATATTAAAAATATTAATAATGATAAGATACATACTTGTTAATTCTTTATACGATATCGATTAAAGGAAAGAGATATATATAATATAATAATAGATGTTTATAAACGACAAGTGTAATTTCCAAATATGTTACGCATCATTACACGCGCGATGACGCAGAGACTAAGAACTGGATTCGACCTACTTTCAGGACCGACTCTCTCATTACGACGATAAAGTATCGTGACAGAAGCTTTTCCAACGTCGTGATCAACGTCCCGATGATGGAGAGAAAGGAGTCTGAGGAAGCATCGATAGGTAAAGTAAGTGGAACATCTCACTTCCTGCGCGTTTCTCAACTTTCCTTTTTCAAACAATGAATATGAAAATCGTCAACAATACGAAATGGAAAAGTTTCTTCTTTTCACAGTTCGATTTTTCTTTTCTTCTTTCTTTCTTTCTTTCCTTCTTTCTTTTTTCTTTTTTTCTTCTTTTTTTTATTTTTTTTTTTTTAATTCTTATCCCACAACCAATCAAACCAATCGTTTATGTGTAACGATAAGGATAAAAATAGATATAAATTTTATTATAAATACCTCAGAAAATGTAAGATGATAAGAGGTTCATCGTACAATCGATCGTTCGATCATGATTATATATGATATTGTATATCGTAAAAGATCGATAGGATTTCCGACAAATATTGCGAAAAAGATATATATATATATATATATATGTATATGTATATAACAGGCATGTGTATGGTCCCCAATATTGATTAACTTTTTCCGTGTTATTCGTTCGAGTTTTAAAAAGTTGTTAAAAGGTATAAATTTTTGTTTTTTTTTTTTTTTTAGAATGAAACAGGTTTGAAAGTCGTGACATTTAGTCGATGTTAGTCGTCAGCGATCATAAAAGTACGATAAAAGAAAAAAGTAACTAATATAGCGATACAAAGAATTAAGAAAATTTTGTCGATCAAAAACATTTATATAAATATTTATGTACTATTCTATTCTATATATACATGTACGTACATACATCGATTATTAAAATTATTTAAATAAGTTCTATTTTAAAGCGTCCACGTTAATATATTTAACGTACGTCAATCGTTATAAAAATAAAATTAAAAATATAACAATATATCATCAGATATTAATAACAAACAAATAGATAAATAAAACGAGATTCGTCTTAAAGGTGTGACAAAGTAAAAAGATTTGCAAAAAAAAATTTTTTCCAGATATAATGAATAATTTTCCAATCAATCTTGTGATTGAGATAAACTATAGGAAATTCTTGATTACATCAAGCATCTTGATGCTCTATCAACCGATGTTGTCTTCTAATCCAGGCGTCATCGTTTCGCTACGATGAATCAAAGGTATCTACTATCTTTTTTTTACCTCTATGATATATTGCGTGTGTATATGTAATAAAGACATTATATTACGTAAACAATATGTAGGTTTTTTCTTTTCTTTTTTTGGCTTCATATATTATCAACATTCCAAGCAAAAACGAATCATCGTATTTCTATCAGTATTGTCAGTTTTCCTCTTATCTTCATTCATTCACTCAAAAGTAATTTTATTTGATAGGAAACTTTATATGTTTATAATATATATATATATATATATATATATATATATATATATATATATATATATTAACTGGAGTAGCAAAAATCGCGATGTTGTAAGGATTAACATATATATAAGTATATGCTCAATTATATATATATATATATATATATATATATATATATATATATATGTATGATAAATTCATATGATGTAACGAAATATATAATTGTATTAAAAGATTCGCGTATGGAAATGATTTTTAACGCAGACCTTCGATTTGTTCATTGCAAGAGACGACGAAGTCATCGAGTTCGATCGAGGTTTAAACAACAGCGTGCATAATGAATTCCCTTGAATAATTAAACGACTTTGATTATACAAGATTTACTTTTCATTATCGTTCACGGCGTTCCGGGTCTTCGGAGTTCAGCGATACCGTAATCGTCTTTTCTCGCGTGATTAACGATTCGGATCGTGAGTTCTTTTTAAAATATAAATTAAAAATCCACCGGATATATCATAGAAAATGTATCTCTTCTTCAATTTATAAAAAAAAAATATATATATATATATATAATACTTAATAAATAATTTACAATAGAAATTAATGAGTTATATTGTACATTTGTACATTTGTAAAGAATTAAGAGAACCAATAAGATAAAGTGTCTATTTTTGTATTAAAATCAATATAAAATTAAAAACAACTCTATACTTATCGCTATCGGGCGTCTCGTCGAATTTTCGGGGAAAAAAAAAAATAATCGATCTTAAAAGAAAAACGTATATGTAATATCTTTTTGTGATTATTTTTAATAGTTACTCTTCAGATTAGGTACACCAGAAGGTAAGTAAAACCAAGATTATCATGATTAGGAAAGATTAGACTCTCTTTTTCTCTCTCTTTTTCTCTTTCTATTTCTCAACGAAAGAGAAAAATCAAGAAAAAATTATTTTAAAGGAATACTTTGATGGCTCTCATTGTTATTTACATTCATTTTAACGAAGGTTTAATAGAATTTTTGAAACTCTCGAACAGCAACTAGTATGCTAACTAAAGTTGTTGAAAATGTACACCGATGAATCCAAAGGCAACGGACGTTAAAGTCCGTCCAAAGCTCTATGATAATGCTTCAGTAAACTCGATCTCTCTCTCTCTCTCTCTCTCTCTCTCTCTCTCTGTCTGTCTCTTGTGTCTCGCTTTTCATTTGCTCACAGTACAAACGATCGATCGATTTTGTTTGACGCGTTTAACTCGCGGAATGAATCGAGTCAACTCTTCACCGTAACGGCCTTCGAAACTCGATACGATCGATATAGCTTTCGAAATCGTAGTGTGGTGAAATAACGTAAACGACGTGGGAGAGAAAGGTAATATATATATATATATATATATATATATATATATATTAGGTAGATTCATGGCATATGGCCATGGCACTGAGATTTGTATGAGATTAACGATAAATTGTGCGTATTAGATAAGACAAACGGGAAGAGTGAGTATGTGCGTGAACAATGTCTGCGATCTATTCGACATTGAAAAAGTCATATTTACGCGATCGATCGCGTATCGCGAAATGAAAAGTGCATTGCACCCGTACTCCGAACGAAGAGAAATAAAGAAAGAAAAGCAAAAACAAAAAAAAGAAGAAGAAAAAAAAAGACCAAAAAAAAAAAAGGAGAAAAGAAAGTAAAGAAAAAGCAGAAAACAATGAAGGAAAATATAAAATGAAAAGAAAACAAAAACGAAGATACGACTCCGTAAAAGCCTTGTTTATATATTGCATCTCTGGACTCTAATATCTTGAATCGTTTCTAATATATTCTAAAACGGTTCCCTTTATATTGTATTGATCATTCCTACG